AAGAACACTTCGAGGCGATATACAGAGTTCTGAGGTATCTAAAGGGAACTCCTGGTAAAGGCCTCCTATTCAGGAGACAGGGACACTTACAAATTGAAGTCTACACTGATGTAGACCGGGCTGGGAGCGTTACTGATCGAAAATCAACTTCTGGCTACTGTACCTTTGTTGGGGGAAACTTGGTTACCTGGCGCAGTAAAAAACAAAACATGGTGGCTAGAAGTAGTGCTGAAGCCGAGTTTAGATCAGTTGCCCATGGGATTTGTCAAGTTTTGTGGATCAGGAGACTGGTAAATGACTTAAGAATATCGAGCACCTCACCTATGAGGGTATACTGCGACAACAAAGTAGCAATCTCGATTGCCCACAATCCTGTTCTTCAGAATAGAACAAAACATGTGGAAGTTGATAAGCACTTTATTAAAGAAAAGATTGAAAATGGTTTGATCTGCATGCCATATGCCCAACTACGGAACAAATTGCAGATATACTCACAAAAGGTCTACACAAAAGACAATTCGACTACTTGGTTGGCAAGCTGGCAATGGAAGACATCTTCAATCCAGCTTGAGGGGGGGTGTTGAAAAAGGTTATTGCTGTCAACTACAAAACAGTAAAGCTGACTTCTAGATGTAAATAGTTAAATGTTAGATTCAACATTGTATAGTCAATATTGTCACCTTCTAGTAGCATGCTTTCTAGAAGCACACCAAGCTTGTGTTCACACCTTACCTTGTGTTCACACCTTGCCTAACTTCACCTAATCCATTAGGTTTTGCCTATATATACATCTTGTATCATTCATTGTAATTCGTTCAATACAATACATTTTACACATAAACATAATCAGTTCACAAACAGGCCTAATATCTGCAGAAAACCCTAACTAATGTGGTTCATGTAACCAAAACTTGAAATGGTCTATTTCTGGGCAACTCTTAACTGATACAGCTTCAAATCAACTATGTAATCATGCTCAAATGATAAACAATCACCTCACAGCAATATATCAACAATAAGGACTTAGATCAAAGGCTTAAACCAGCAAAAATCAAGTATAAGCAAGGTATGCAATATCAAAAGCTACTACAGTAAGATAATAGGCACAAACATTGTTTCTGCAAATGTCAAATGGTAAACAAAGCTTGTCTCAACCTTCACAGTGCACCAGAAATACCTCAAATGGATTTAGACCTTTCAACCCTTGATTCAGCACCAGCAATCAATAACACAAGGCCTCCTCCACACATCAGTGACATAATCTCTCACAGCAGGATTCTAAGATGAATTGAAGGTCAAATATTGAATTGAAACTCATAAAACTTGGTCCATTTGGTCACTCGAGATATGAACACTCAATGCAGCTCACAAAGGCACTCACAGTCAAGAGGCTTACACAACTCATTTCTATAACAGTATATATATAGGGTACATTGAGTTGAAATCCTACCCTAAAGAGGAAATACACATGGCACTGTCAACTAATCATTTGCAAGGGAATATTCTGACATTCTCTATGTGAAAGGACCACAATGCCTCCGCCACATTTGCAGTTTTGTCCTTTAGTGCACCAGCAATTTTACAGCTCATATATATATGTGTATATATCTGTATAAACACAGACTTGGTGCCTAAGAAATGCATAACCACCTCCATTCTCTCACTCTAGGACCACAGTGTACGTGTCAACTCCTTGTTCATCCACTGTAATGACCATAATGCCCCTTAACTAGTAGACATATGCCAATATATATAGAAAACTGTTTCTGCAGCCTGTATGTATACAATTAATCTTGATTTTTTAAGCTCTGTGAAGCAATGCAGCATCCAAGGTAAACATAAAATGATCACACACGTGTGAAATGACTGGAATACCCAGAACCCCAAAATACATTGTATACTGGAAATAGGGTCATGTTTGGTCTGTGATACAATGTACCTAGCATAATCAATTTAAAATGAGTTCGCTCATATTTAAAATGACCACACTACCCCTGTACATATCTGAATAAACCTGAGCTCACTAGAATCCATGGTATATCACTGTAATGGACCTGTAGTCATATTTTTTACATTTAAAAGAGCAAACCCTAGATAAAGGCTGGACTAACAAATATCATAATATAATTGTTGGATAAAGCATAGAATCATTTAGAAAAGATGAACCAAGATATAGTGAGTACATACCATGGCTAATTTAGTCCAACATTTATATTGATGTATGTAAATCAACTTTAGGGATGGAGTCCTTGGACATAAAAGATGGTTTAAAAGAATTAGATATAGAACAAGGGGAAGAGGATGCATTTGACGACAAGAAATTTGTTGCTGAAATTAAGCAATATAAAATAGTTGATGACCCCAAGTTACATGTCCAAGAAAGGGTGGAAAGTTTCGAGCACCAAGATGGTAAAGAATCAAACCAAGAAGTTACACTTGTTACGAACAATACAAGGGTTGTTGATGTTAGTGATCCTTATGCTTCTACTGGTGTCATTTTAGTGGCCCCCGTTAGCAATTTGAAATCAATTGATAAAAAGTGCTTCACTCCAATTTCTTCTTTCATGCAACTCTCGCTGTCCATCATGGTGGTGAGTTACAATGAGGACTTGATTGCAAGTACTTCGCCTATTGGGTGACAGTTGGGGCTAGTTTGGTGCGCAAGAATGAAATAGAGTGCGAATGGAATGAAGCTGAGAATAGAATGGGAATGAGAATGCCCCATTCCATTCTCAGCTTCATTCCATTCCCACTCTATTTCATTACCATTCCATTCTAGTGTTTGGTTGCAAATATGGAATGCTGTAAATATGGAATGATGATTCTCATTCATGTGTTCGGTTGAACCAATTAAAAGCTAGAATGCAATGAATTTACATTGATTTCTCCAAATTACCCTTTATCATGAATAACAAAATTTAACTTAAAAAATATTAATAAAAAAATTAACATAAGAAATGAAATTGGGGCAAGAAAGTTGTGGAAGCAAGGTGTTGAAGATTAGGGCAAGAAGATGCCATGTTGAGAAGAAGTTGATCGAACAAAGGGGAGGCGTCTCCAGCGGCAGTGGTGAGATAAGGGGTAGTGAGAGAGGAAGGCGAGGAAGTCGAATTTGTCTTCAGCGGCGGAGGAAGACAATGGAGGGAGACGACGAAAGGTGAAACCAGCGCTTGGAGACGAGAGAGGCGGCTGGGTTGGGTTGTGTTATGTTGTGGTCTTGTATGTTCCACCGTTGAGAAAGGAGATGATGGCGGTGGAGCAAGACGGCTGGATTATGGAGAGAAGTATAACAGATCTGATATCAGAGATGAAGATTGTGGCAACATCAAAGGAGTTGAAGGTGCGATCCAGAGTTCCAAGGTCTCTGATCTCAACGGTGTTTCTGGATTATCCGATAGCTTCCTCTACTTCGGCCCCCTTTGTCGTCGTCGTGGTTCTAGGCTGTGGAAGGAACTCCAATGTCGATGGGTTGGAAGCTGTCGATGGGTTGGAAGAGAACAAAGATGGGTTTAGAAAAGAGAAGATGAACAGGTTTTTTTGGTCATAATTTCTTTAATCCCATTCCATGCGGGAATAGAATGCCCATTCCATTGGTAAAGAGAAGGAATGATTTTGGTGGAACGACCATTCTCTGAGAATGGTGAGGAATGATGATTCCACCTTTAATAGCCCACACCAAACACAACAATGGAAAGACAAGCAATCCATTCCCTCTGATTTAATTCCATTCACCCACACCAAACACAGCCTTAGGGTGCAGGCTCTCATGCAATAATCTTAATGGGCCATTATCTTTGGTACCTTTGCTGAAGGAAGAGGCTATTCGGAAAGATCTTTTGTGCAATTCTATGTCTTATGTATTTGGATCATTTTTCAATTATGATTATTGGTGAAGCAAATAGGGAACAAACCATGTTATTTTCAAAGTGTGGATTTTTCGATATTGTGATTGAAGAAGTAGCTTACGAGGCATCAAGGTCGAGTCAGTGGTATAAAATTTTGTTTATATTAATATATGATTAGTCACAAGGAAACTAGAGGATGAGTTTTTGGAATTGGAGGAGACTAATGTAGGACTGTTTTATTTAGGTTTTATATTATTTTTTTTTTTATTTTTTATAACTTTTAGGGAGTTTAATTTTAGGTTTTTAATTTCCTTCTACAATTAGTTTCTTTATATTTTTTTGTTTACTTAAGCAATTAGTTTCCTTTACAGTATTATGGTTTTCTTTTATTATAAATATGCATGTAGTGCAAGAACATAATTGAACCTTTTATCAATAATATTTCAGAATTATTTATGAATTTATCTCTTGTTTTGTGGATTCAAAACACCCTACTTTGTGGATTCAAAGTAACCCATTCCTTGTGAACGACTTTAATCGCTTCCGCTACGTCATCTTGGGTGCAAACAATTCCTTGAGGGGGGGTGAGTTTCAACTAGGAAAAGAAAAAATTCAATATGCATAGATACATATATATTTTAATTCACATATCTATATTAATATATTTATATATCTAGCCGTGTCCTTGCCATATTCATTTCCTACCTTTTAAAAATTTCTCATATTGCTATATTTGTGTCGTGTCATGTCCATATCTCATATATATCCATTTCTATGCTTCACAGATCCAGCACTAAACAGAAAATGTATGATTATTTTGTCCGGAGTAATGAAGACAAAACTAGATATGCTACTTGAGCACGATAAGACGGGTAGGTATGCCTAGATCCACTGTTTAAACAAAATAAGCTAGTTTTGAAAGATTTATCTTTTTTGGCTAATTTAACAGAATAGAAGTTGTTTTGCATTGACGTTGGGTTGTTTGTATGTCATGGCCACTTTCTCAATCAAAACTCCTATCAATTGAATTTTTGAACTCAATGGGACCTTCCCTCTCGGATTTGACAAACAATAATTATATAAAGGTTGCAGCAACTTCAAAAATTAGATCTGTTCCAATTCTATATAATATAGACAAGTTAATAGATTAGCCACCTGATCAGCAAGAAGAGTCACATTTGAACCAGCCGCTAGTGCCACAATTCTGAATTTATCTGGGTTCTCCGCAACTATGTCCAATGTCTGTAAATCACCAACTTATAATTGTAAGCAATTGCAGAAGATTTACACGCAAAATGCATGTGTAGCATTCAATTTGACCGTATAAAGAAAAATGATTTTTTTTGTCAATTACTAATGGCAAACAGCACAAATTGGAAAAACAAAACTAGGTCAAAATAATCTCGCTTTTATTCCACAGTTCATCTTTTTAGAAGAAAGAATGAACCTTTAGGAAAGGCTAATAATCACAACTGCAAGGCTATTATATGTCAAGGGGAGTCATGCAAAGGTAGTTTCTTAAGAATCTGTGTGGTTTAGGCATAGCTAGTAGAAAAATATGCAAGTGAAAAGGAAAGCTAGCTTTACTATTTATGTAACAATGTAATATGAAAATTTCTTCACCTGAGTTCCGATAGAACCAGTAGATCCAACAACTGAGATTGGCTTTGGACCGTCCCAAGTTTTACGTCCTGGCTCCACAATAGCCCGTCCGGGCCATGCTGGAGGAGGTGGCTGTGCTGAACAGTAAACTCTATTTCCCGAAGTTACTTCGCGGTCCTTCCTTTTCAAAGACACCCCTCCTAAGAAAATTACAAATCAAAAAACCTAAAATTATCCCTCTAATCAAATAACAAAAATACCAAAACAGCATTAGAATATTTGGAAAACACAAAATAAGATGCCAAGCAAATTGAAACTTTACTGATGCAGCTGTAGAGCAAGTAGAGATGCTTTTACAGGACTATTAAAATCCAAAACAAAAAAAAGACTAGGACTGAAAGAAGGAATAGATAGGCCAGAGATACACATGATCCAGTTTCAGCAGCCTCTTTATTTACATTTCTTTTCAGTGATAAGGCCAATCAACAAGGATTGAGTTTCTGTTATTGGATGGCTAATGATTAAGCCTATTATAGTTGGAATACCCTATATATTGGATTAGCAAGGGTTCAGAGAATCATTGTTAATTAATTTCCAAGTTAAATTTGCAGCAATCAAAATCCTGGTTTTAGTTCCTCCTTGGTTATGGATGTTTTCTTTACTTTTCGTTTTCCATTATACCATGGACTACAATTTGATCATCCTCTCTTGGTAGGTGGCATCAGGTTTGATATCAAAGCTTTAATTTTGGCCTCCTGACTACTCAATTATGCATCCACAGTAACAATCCAGAGGAGGACTTGGTAGGATTCAGGTTCCAGTCTTTGAAGCGAATCCTAGAGCAGTATAAAGCCCGTTTGGCTGCAAGGGGATTCACACAGGAGTATGGTGTTGACTATGAGGAGACCTTTGCTCTTGTTGCTAAGATGATGACCATTCATACATTGATTGCTGTAGGAGCTATTCGTCAAGGGGGCCTTTCACAGCTCGATGTCAAAAATGCCTTCTTAAATGGGGATTTGACCGAGGAAGTTTAAATGGTTCCTCCCCCTGGTCTTTCTCATAATCCTAGAGAGGTGCGTAAACTCAAGAAGCTTTATATCGTCTCAAACAAGCTCCTCAGGCCTGGTTTGAGAAGTTTTCTACGATGATATGTGGGTTTGGCTTTCATCCTAGTGATCATGACTCCGCTTTCTTTCTTCGTTCTACTTTTGCCGATCACATTATTCTCCTCTTCTGCGTTGATGATATGATTTTGACAGGTGATGACATAATTGGCATTACACTTCTGCCGTATCAGTTGCAACAACAATTTGAGATGAAGGATCTTGGTTCACTTTGCTATTTTCTTGGCATTGAATTAGCTTCCTCTCCTAAAGATTATCTTCTGTCTCAGTCCCAGCGGATGTTATTCAAATGCTCATCTCACAGATTCTCGGACAGTTGAGACTCCCTTAGAGCTCAATGTTCATTATTCTTCCTTAGATGGTGTTCCATTGGCTGATCCTACCTTGTATCATCTTATAGTTGGCACGTTAGTGTATCTCACAGTTACGCAACCTGATCTTACATATGCAGTACACATTGTTACTACACTTCACTGGGCTGCAGTTCTCCAAGTTTTGCGTTATCTTCGGGGTACTTTAAATCAGAGTTTGTTGTTTTCCTCCACTTTTGCTTTGGAACTTCGAGCTTTTTCTGATTTTGACTGGGCCGGATTTCCAACCGATCGTAAGTCCGCTACTGGCTTTTGTATTTTTCTACGTGACTCTCTCATATCCTGGAAAAGCAAGAAGCAGACAGTTGTTGCTCGCTCCTTGCTGAGTATCATGCCATGGCAGCAGAGATAGTTTGGCTTCGATGGTTGCTTGGTGATATGGGTGTTACTCTTTCTGTTCCTATTCCTATGTATTGTGAAAACAAGATTGCAATTCAGATTGCACACAACTGTCTTTCATGAGCGCATGAAGCATGTGGAGATTGCTTGTCATTTTGTGCGCCAACACCTTCAACTTGGCACTATTTCTCTGCCCTTTGTTTCTTTTACTATGCAGTTGGCTGACTTCTTCACAAAGTCCCACACTATCATGTGTTTTCGTTTTCTTCTAGGCAAACTCGCAATGCTTCTCTCTGTTACATCGTGAGTTTAAGGGGGTTAAAGTACGATTTATTTTATTATTAGAGGTTACTATTGTCTTTTCCTTAGTTTATTAGTTTAGGGCTTATTATATATTGTTATTTAATGTATCCTTCTGTAAACTGAATACATGATTTGCGTTATTGTGCACCTCTTGTTCCTCCTCTTTACTCTGCAAAGCAAACCAAATAATTGTAATTCTAATGCCTATGTATCATATCCAAATTTTGGACCATTTCAAGCCAGTTCCATGTACCCTAAGATTTGGGATTTAGAGAGGCCCAACACCAGGACAAACAGTCGCACCCTCAGCACCGACACAATAGGACATGATATGAGTATAGGATGTGTCCAACACACGTATTCAAATCGAACATGCAAAAACGTCTTCCCTAATTTTGGGATAGATGGAATCCTCCATTTTTCACCATATTCTATTTAACTTGAATACGATGGAGTATAATTTTAAATAATAAACTGCATCATATATTACGCTATTATATAGCAAATTATGTATTTAAATATACAAGATGTGTCCATGTAATGTATCCAAATTTTGGACCCATTTCAAGGCAGCTCCATATATCCTAAGATTTGGGATTTAGGGAGGTCCAACACATGGACACACACTTGCACGGGTACATATATCCAAGTCCATGTAACATAGAAAAATTCTTATATATTAGGCTACCTAAGGCTTGGAGAATCATTATTAAATCAGTTTTCTGGTTCAGTTTTTAAGATTCATTTAATTCCTCTCTTTTTTTTGGCTGTTTTCTTTACTTTTCAATTTCAATCTTGTTGTAAACAATGTTTTGATCGTCCTCTCTTGGTAAGACAGATTGCATCATGCACACATTTTAAATTATACATGATGAGATAAACTTAAATTACTAAGTGAAAGGAGAAAATTACCAGTCATACTTCAGAATTCCCACAATCAAATCTTGCAACAGAGGAACATAAAGAAGCAAATACAATCATTGTTACATGTTAGAATTGTAGATAATATATTATGATTGTACCCAGCTCCACCCAACAAACTAAAAGACTTGAATCCCTAGAACCAAGCAGAATTGAATAATACCAATAAAAAAGGTGATATACACAATTAAGCTTTAAAGTACATGAAAATATTAGAAAACTAATTTTGTAAAACTCTACAATTCAGGTTATTGTATACTGTGAAGAAAACTTTAAAATATACAGAGTTCAAAAATCATAAGATTGTACTTTGATATTCCTAAGATTGATTTATTATTATTATTATTATTATTATTATTGATGAATAGAGAGTGATTGTATTTATGAAAATCTATTGAGTGAACTCAAGAAAGTCTCGAGAAGTCCTTGTTTCACCTCCTCTCATATGTAAGAAACCAATAAACAAAACAAGAATCAAATGCAAAAGCCAGTGTACTCCCACCTCTCCACATGATAAAAAAATGTAGTTTATCCAGTATATTTTCAGACCAAAACCACCAAAGTGGTATCAAAATACCAAGATATAACAGTGACATCAGGGAATCAAAAAATTCTGGCAACCCATTATTTTAGCAGCATATATATTCAAAACATAACCACAAGACATAAAAATCAACAGCTGTTAAGCACCCACTTTGAATTAATCCATAAAACAGCAACTAATTTAGTGCTCCTACAAACAACAAAAACATAATCTTTCTTTAGTGGGTATAAACAGAAAATCATAAAAAAAATAAAAATAATTACAGAAGGTACAGAAATTAAATTATTTTAAGAGTGCAAGTAGTCATAATGTAGTGGAATGTTAATCATTCACTAACTCAAAATAGGGAGACATGAGAGAGAGAGAGAGAGAGAGAGAGAGGGGAACCTTGAAGCTTGAAGAGGTGAAGATTGGATTTAGAGGAGTCCAGAAACGAAATGGTCTTGATTTCTGTTGGAGAGAGTAAATTCAGAGCCATCATAGCCCCACTTTGAACGAATTTCTGATTCTCAAATTCAAAATGAAACAAAAAAGAAAAATTATATGTGGATAAGCAGTGACAATGATATATATATAGAGAGACTGAAATATGATATAGGATTATTTTGTGGTTTGGAGTAATGGGCAGTCGCAGAGCTGTCTTATAGAGAGAGAAATTGTTTGTTTAGAGTCTGGGTTTTAGAGAGAGAGAGAGTGGGCACGATGAGTGGGGGGACAAGACGAGACGAGGGTGTGGAATCAGCTCATCTCGTGGACAGCGTGCAAGCTTAGTTTATGTACTCTGTTTCGGTCTTTGGAATTTGTAATTCGGCGTCATATTGCTTGCTAAATTCATTCTGATTCTCTATATTTGCTTTTAACTTAAAAATATATTATAAAAATATAAATATAATATTATGCCACAAGAAGTTCTACTAAAAACATTTTTTTTTTAATAGTTAATAAATAAATGTTAGGAAAATTGAAAGAAAACGAAAGTGGGCTCAATTCCTCTCTAAATGAGATACCCACCATTATAAAGATTTGAACTATGGCATTAAAGTGAGACAAAATTAGATACGATAATGACATGTCGGATTAAATAATGGGTTAGTACAAGTTTTTGCATGAAAATCACATTCAAAAATTTAATAATATAATCATTGTATTGTTTTATGCAACTTATATATAAAAATTAGAATTGAGGGAGATACAAATCTAAATTTTAAATTATTTTCTAATCAAATTTTAATTATAAAGTAGAGTTCTGTTGAATCTCAACGGGATAGTTGAATTGTTTGGTATTGACAAACAATAGGAAGTTCCTTCTATTTTACCCCATACATCATTACATACTTTGCAACAATGGATGAATAAAGGTTGTTAAGTAAACAAAGTATTCATATTTTAAAATTAATAATTATTTGATTGTAAGATTCTGCACCAGCGGTTTAACTGTTAAAAAATCTTAGGGGACGAGACATAAATACTCATGTTTTGAGTTTGACTCTTTATTTATTTTTTTATTTTTTTTATTTTTTTTTTCTCATCCTTTTTCCTGACCGGAAGAGTACTATTTTTTATTTTTTCCTTCCAGACTAAAGGAAAATATTATTCCAACACGTGACTAAGCGCTTTATGTGAAAATAGAGTTACGCGGGTACGAAAATAGTTAGTTAATTTTTATTGTGATTAACTCCTTTAATAACCTAGATTTGATTATTAGTTCAACTTGCTCAATTTATGATTCATTTAATCATTCACAATCACAAATATATGTAACGTAAAACAAGTTAGAGTTAAAGAGATTACACCAGGATTTTTAGTAAGGAAATTCCATTTAATAAAATACGTCAACTGTTTACTTGGGAAAAACTTGGTGGACTGTTCAGTCCAAAGTAAACCGATCCACTATGTTTGAAATAAATCGCAATAAACTTTGACTCTAACTCACACCCTATCGTTGTACCAAACACCAATTGCTAACAATCCTCTGACTTTGCAACGTTCCGTCTAACAGCAATTTAACCTAAGGCTTATGCTTGTTCTTTGTAGAAGAGTAGCAGGTAGATCAGATAACACTCCTCGAATGTTCCAACCCTTTCAAAGTGTGATCGTTTTTACTTCTGTTCTTCAAGATCTGAACTTGATGTAGAAGAAATAAATTATAATGTTTCCATTTTTTACCATTTTCTATTTTCTGAATTTTTCGAGGGCGATTTTGTTTTTTCTTGTTTTGCATGCCGGACACTATGGGGTGTGCCGGGTGTGTCCGAGAGTTGGTTGGGGTATTTCTTTAAGTCCAAGACTCTTAGAAATGCATTGTTGGTCATTTCGGCATTTTCTAGTTTTTTGGGCGGGGAGGTCCCGGGCGAGACCCGCAACCAGTATTGTTGTGCACGGGAATTATTTTTTTTCGAGGCCTTTATTTTTCATACATTATTTTATGATGTATATTTATGTGGTTATGTGTTTGGAAATGTGTGATTGTAAAGTATTTAGTGTTTGTATATATGTTTATATATAAAAAAAACTAAAAAGAAGATTTTTTTTTTTGGTGCGCCCCATATGATATACACATATATCATATGTGACTGGGCCTTTCTTTTTGGCCAGAAATCTCTCCTTCTCACGCAACTCTCTCTCTCTCCTCTCATTTCCATTTCTTTTTTCTTTTTTCTTGAGACTTCGATTTTCTCTTCCATTTTTCGGCTAATCGGTGGGGATTACGATCTTAGTTCCTTGACGAAAAACGTCCCTTTCGTCGTTCTCTATCACATATTCAAATGATCTAATTTTCTAGGAGCAGTGATTATTTTACGAATTTTTGAAATTTTTGGATTTAAGGCTTCGGAAGGGGTTTTGGGCCAATTGGAGTCAGATTTCAGAGTTGAGCCTTTGGAATAGTAGAATCTCCTCGTCGACGACTACATTCCCACCGAATAGTTTTCCGTTCCATCGCTGTTAACCGGCAATGACTTTTGCTGACCGGCGTTGACCGCGTTGACCGGTGTTAACTTTTCCCGCCGGGGATGCATTTTAGCTATTTTGAGGTAGGGATGTCTAAATCGTCGTGTTTTGACTTTAGTTGAGTTCGTTTATTTGATTTCTTGCTAACAATGCTTAAAATGATAAATGTCGGGATTTAATGTTGATAATGTATTTACTTGTTTATGAGACGAAGCATTAACTAAATGATATTAATTTCGTATAATTAGATATGCGTTTAATGAACATGCCTTGCGTTGAATTTTTTTCTTGAGATTACATATATATGATAATGAAAATGTATAGCTAAACTGATAAAGTGCAGGCATGTTTCCATCGCTTTCATTCATGCATGATTCCATTCATGGTATGGGCATGGTTTGGGAAAAGTGAGGTTGGAATGTTTCTTTTTAAAGAAATGTGTTTGGAAATGATTGTGAGGAAAGGATTTAGAAATGAACCGGATATCGCAAGTTCGAGGCTAACTTGACCTAGAGTGGGCGCGGCCCGGTGTAGGGCATGAAAAAGTTAACACTAAGAGTATCAATCCCGGCTCAGTAAAGTCAGTTAGCGACTAACGTGACCTAGAGAGGGTACGGCCGGGTGTAGGGGGTGAAAAAGTTGACACTAAGAGTGTCAATCCCAGCTCGGTAAAGTCAGTTAGCGTAGGTGGGGATTTGGGGTTGGTGTGAGACCAAGCTCGAGACGATTACACAATGCATTGCATTTCATAGCATTTTCGCACCTATGATTATGACTGATTATGTGATCATAATCTTTTCAATTGAATGACGTGGATTGTAATTTTGATAATTTCCCCTGTATGATCCCGATATCTTTTTTTCCCATTATTTGGTTGTTGGCTCAAGGGAGTCCAAAACCGATGTTTTAGGCATTACCTACTGAATTGTTGAGCTCACCCCTTATCATAACATTTTTAAGAAATCGGAGGAGTATGGACGTATGACTTATATCCATGGACTTAGACGCCGCTACTATTCTACCTGCATTTGTGAGTTTTCTATGATGTTAGTGATATAATGTACTATGAGTCTTAGGATGACGTATATATTTTATGCATTGACATAGGAAAGGACGGTAATGCTTTAGATGACCTCGGGTCCGGGTAAGAACCCGATAAATGATTCGAACCCCCGGGTTCGGGTCGTTACAAATTTGGTATCAGAGCAATAGTTCGAAAACCAGTAGGACGACGAGTAGAGGCCTACCTAGGGTTGTGTGGAAAGTGGATTGCATTGTTTACATGCTTATGTGTTAAAGTATTTGTTATATGAGAAGAATGTTTACTTGCTTAATTGTTTATGTGTTTACGGTTTAAAAAGGGTATGTTTATTTGCTAAGTGTTCACATGCTTACGTGTTTAATTGCTAAAATGTGTGTTATATGGTCATGACGATGAAATGTATAAATAATTGAAAACATATTAATTATGATATGATGACAAGTGTGATTTAGGTGCTAACGGTAAGTGGTAGGCACGGTGTGTGCAGTTTTATTTTAAATGATAATGTGGTAAATAGTGAGCACGATAGGTGGAAGCATATATCCTATGGTATTGTGACGATTATTTAGGCATGGTTATGCAAGTATTTTTTTAAAAAAAAAATGAAAGACGGGGTGTTTATTTACTTTTAAGTGATGGGACACAATTATGTCATGGTATGGGGTATGGTTATTATGTATGTGTGTTCACGTGTGTACATACGGTTGGGTACGGGATGGTTGCTTGTACGGTAAAGTATTTGCTGCGGCATTGATGGTTGTGTGAGTTTTGACCAAAGTAGGCGAGGAACTCGGTTGCTCAAGGGTTGTTTGGGTGTCGGTTCTTATCGAACTAATGGCGTAGGTCTTTAGCTCGTGGATCAAGCAATTCGGTGTATGGTTATTTCATATATCTTGTTATTTTTAGGGTGTAGTGCTTGGGGCACGGCTTTTGAACGATTGTGTATGGCACAGTGCGATGTCCGGAGTGAGACGTACAAGTTTCAAGTGTTAGTGAATGGTTTTGTGGAGGTCAGGTGTGCACTGTGGGGGAGAGATATGACCTTAGGGGGTTAATATTTATGACTTGGATGACGGTTTGGTACTGAGGTTCTCTTCGAGCTGGTTTGTGGTGAGTGTGATAGAGGTTGCTCGAGTCTCGAGTGTAGTCTATGGGTTGTAAACATGTATCTCGAGTATTCTGGTATGGTCTAAGGAACCGTGTTGGTTATGGTGGTTGAGAGGACTTATTGGACTCAGTAGGTCTAGTGTGACGTAAGCATTGACTGGAGTCATGCCAGTGTTGGGTGATTGACTATTTGATGTGATTCAGTTCGTGGGTTATAAGAGTATGTATTAGAGACTGGATAGTTGAGGGGTGATCCCCATTTCGGATAGCTACAGGAGTGTGTTGCAGGTAATTAACTCTCAGTGAGTTGATTGCATGGATCAGTAGATGAGCGGGGTTATAGGTTGTTACGATTGTCGAAAGAGTCTCGAGGTAGGGTATAGTAGTTAGTTTTAGCTGTATAGTGTAGGATTGCATAATAAGGCAGGTAGTATAAGGTCATTGGAGTGTTTGGTTGTTTGCGAATGAAATGATAGCTGGTGAGTATTGTGTTATCAAATGAATTGTGTTTTAGAATTTGAAAGTAGTGGATTAAGGTTGTATTTCAAATTACGTCTAGAGTATCAAGAGATAATGCTTGTTATTTGAGGATTCGAAGAGATAGATTAATGATTGGAGTGATTGAGACGAGGTTGGTCTTGTAGGTTAGTTAGTAGC